CTCTTTTGTAATGCTCTTGATCTCTAGGAGGAGCGGACAGGTAGCTAGTATTTGCCTCTCTAAGGGCATGTAATGCTCAGCATAGGGCCACTTTGTACCCAAAGCCCACAGGGAAGCTTTTGCTCTGGTACTTGGTCCAGAGGCATAATCAGGGGTGGTAATGGCCTCCCTAGTGTACAATATTCACTGTGGGTACTAGTGAGAGGGCACTGGAGACTGCCCATTGGACAGCCTGCAACGCCTCCATTACTATGGCCCCCAGTACATTCTGTTGACTTATGGGTGATTTGGTAAATCATAGTTAGCAGAATTCGGAGGGCGTGTGTACTGTCTCAAAGCCCCAAAGAGCCTTAGGAGGTGTTGTGTCTTCTGCAGAGTATCTGGGGTTCACAAGTTGAGGAGGTGGAGCTTAACTGGGTCCAGGTTCTGTGGCCCCCTGAGGACCAGATGATCCCCAGGAATTTAACAGAGTGAGGGGATCCCTGTATCTTGTTAGGAGCTATTGCCCATCCCCTCCTAGCTAGGTGCTCAAGTAGTATGGAGAGATCTCCAACTAGGCGCTCTCTTTGGATGCTCCTTAGGAGGATGTCACCTACACAATGCCACATTTTGGTCCTGAAGTCCAGGGAAGTCTCAGGTCCTGTAGGCACAGCCCAGTAGCTGTAGCTGGAGAATTTAGATAGCTCATGAGCAATCTTATCAACATGTATTGGGTTCCCTCATACATGAAAGATAATGGTGGCTGTTAAACCTTGGTAATAGGAATTGAATAAAATGAGTTAGCTGCAAATCATTACACTTTGAGATCTGATTCTTTTTAGTGACTTCTATGATACTAGGGATCCTGATGGGGTGGGGTAACTATGCTATTTAAGCTGCAAAGGTGAGGCACCACTCCTCCTTCTCTGGTTTCTTAACCAGATAGTTGGGCTTCTTAAAAGGGGATATTGTTTTCACCAACACATCTTCCTCTTCTGATTTCATCATAACTCTGATTTCAATTTCCCCACAATTCTTTTGTAATTTTCATATTTTCATAATTTTCATAATTTCTTTATAATTTCAATATAACTCCAATAATTCCAACTTCTTTGTGTCCTGGCTGTGGTTGGAGGGCAGAGGGTGGGAATGTTGTTAACTGTTTGACTGATGGGGGAAGTCTTCTGGGCCCTTTTTGGCCCTTCCTATGAATAGGGTGGTGATAGATTTAATCTTGTTCCATAGGATTAGATGGGCAGCCAAGAAGTCCATACTGATTACAGGAATGCTAATGGAGGCTATTGTAGTAGAAACTCAATTAATGTGATGATGCCAATAGTAAAAAGGAACCGGGACCTCTTACTTAATAATGGGCACCAGGATCTTATTGCCCATGAAGGCCTTGAGGGTCATGGAAGTGCCTTCATGTAGGAAAGGATTTCCTACCATTTTGGTGACTTGGAACCCTGAATCAATAAAGGCCAGGAAATGTTGGCGTTGCACAGGGATGAGTACACAATCACAGTAGAAAGGAGCCTTGGGGGCCTGCGGAGCTGTCAAAACCCTATCTATTTTTTGGGGTGGCCCTGCCATTTATGGAAATGGGCAATACCATTGAGAGCCTGCCCCCCTCTCTGTGGTTGGTATGTTGGAGAGAACATTGAGGAGCTCCAAGTTCCCCTGGGGGGGTGCCCGAATCCCACAGTTACCGGTAAAGTTGGGGCCATCCTCCAGCTCTCCACTGTCTCAGCCTTGCTTCTCCTGTCAGGACTGCGGGCAAGTGTGATGTTCTGAGCCATGTTTTCTGGCCCACAGAGCCTTCTGGGAGCTGTGTACTAGATTTGGGGTGTTGTTGGTGGTTGACCAACAGCCAGCTGGGGGTTCTTCCTCAGTCGCTACAGCGACAAAAGTGGCAGCGTTCAGTTCCCTGCCCCATACCTTAGTGAGTTTCTTGGGCTTCTTTGGGAAGGCTGTCTAGGGGTCTGAGCCAGGAAGCATTTTAAAGTACTAGACAGGATGCTTTGGGGCTAGCTATTTCCTTTCCTCCACTCACATGCAAGAAGCCACTCTTCAGGCAATTCAATTTGGGGGGAAGGCACAGTTAGGTGGCACAGTGGATAGAGTACCAGGCCTGGAGTCAGGAAGACTTGAGTTCAAATCTGGCCTCAGACGCTTATTAGCTGTGTGACCCTGGGCAAGTTGCTTAACCATGTTTGCCTCATTTTCTTCATCTGTAAAATGGAGAAGAAAATGGCAAACTACTCTAGAATCTTTGCCAAGAAAACCCCAGATGAGGTCACTGAGAGTCAGACACAACTGAGCAACAAAAGTTGGGAGTGTGGGGAGGATGTATCCCCATCCTAACTCCATTGCAGAAATGGCTCAGTTGTGCTTGCTTATTTTAATTTGAGAGGAATCAACCTCCCTAGCTTTGGCAGCAGAGAACATGAGCGTAAGCAATGTCCCTCTAGAACTTAGTCAAGTGCTTTATGTTGCCAAGAGGAAGTGTCTTAGAGGTCTAACCACAGTGTGGTTGGGGCAAGTCCCCAGTCCTAGCCTTGGTGTACAAGCTAGCCTTTGCCTTCTATGTTACCTAAATCTGCCAAGAGCATTAGTCCCAGTCATGGAAAACAGCAGATGCTTCCAAAGGAGAATGCTGGTATGGTTGGGAGGTGGGACACTCTAAGACAGATCACAGCAGGAGCCAGGACCTAGCAGGGACAAAGTGAAGCAAACAGGCTTTATAAAGGGGAAATATCCCCAGTATGAAGGGTACTCAGGGAAAACGGAAACATGTCAGGTCTGGGGCCAAAACTAGTGGATTTTTTTAGGGTTCTGAGTTGGGTCAAACCAAACCTGACATTGGGAGAAAAAAGTAGGAATCAAGACCTGGTAGGTAGGTCAAGCTTTTGGCACTGGTGCTGATCTATATTAGGGGAAACTAGAGGAAATTGGTGGATTGGTTGTTATTCAGACTCCCAACTGTCAGGAAAAGGGGCTTCTCACCATAACTTCAGACATACTTTGGCCAGGGCACTTGGGGGATTTGGGCTTCCCTGACTTCTTTGTTTAGGGGTGCAGTGAGGCTATTGAAGTCCTTACACATAATAATCAATGGAAATTTATTGCTTACTCAGGGATAGTACTCTGTGTCCAACCTTATGCTAGGTATAAGAGGGGTGTTGGAAGAAGCTTACAACATGTTTCAGTAATGCCCTGGCCTCAAGAGCTTTCAGTCTAGTTGAGAAGAGGAGACATACATACATATGAAATTAATTCTACAGGTACCAAATGAGTGGCCATGACCAGAGGTGTGAAATTGGCACACCAGAATCAACTCAGGCCTCCTTAAGTGCCTGCAATCCAGATTAGAATGTAATTGGGAAATGTGTAACAAAATAAAAATACAGTACAACCTAGATGTTAATTTGTGGTTTTCTAAGTGAATATGCAATCTACCAGAATCTGTTTCCATTTTAGTTTGACTCCACCAAGTCATACAATAAGTGCCTTAAGAAAGAAGAGGCAACATCACCTACTTCTCATTTTATCCCAGAAGTGGGAAATAGACATATGGTATGTGGGAGCAGCATGGTGTGGTGGGAAGAGCATCAGATCTTGAGCCAGTGAACCTAGGGCATTATCCCATCCCTGTTTGCAGTAAACAGTTATGTGGCAAATCACTTTGCCTCAGTATGTCTGAGATTTGTCATCTTATTATTTCAGTAAATATTAGTGTTTAGTAAAAGTTAATGATATACGGAAGAGCAAAGGATGATGCTTGAGGGAGTGACAGGTCAAGAAAAGGATTTTTTAAGAATGGATGAGACCCGATTATGACTATAGACAGAAGAGAGGGAGCCAACAGATAAAGCTACAACTCATTTGCAAATTAATTTTGTCCCTTTGTACATCATGTGTTGGTGTCATTTAATTAGTAATGAGTGTGATTAATAAAATTGAAGCATAAATATAATTATAAAAATGAATGAGCTATTAACATTTTGAAAGCATCAATATTGCCACGACATGAGCTTCTGGTCATTATAAATTAGGTCTTTGGCAATATCGTATTCAGTTTCTCCCATGACCTTTTGAAAGGTGGGTCAACAACAACAAAAAATCCATCCAGCATGCAGATCGCAATGGTGTGGATCACAACCTTTCCCTCAATACTGTCTCTTCTTCATTTCTTGTCCATGTCACACTTGTCCATGCTTGTCCATAATTGTCCACATTGGGTCCATTCAGCATGCTAGAGTGACCTTCCTCTGGACCTCCTTTTTCTCTCCATTGTATGGATGTCAGTAGAGTCCAGTGCTGATCAGAATCAATCAATAAGCATTTATTAAGTGCCTGCTAAATGCCAGAAAGTGCTAGGCACTCAGGATGCAAATACAAATGTGAAACAATCCATGCCCTCCAGGAGCTTACATTCTATTGCGTCATCCCTTCTACTAATCCACTTGACCTGTCCACTTCCTTCTGCTGCTCATACCTCTCTGATGACATGCTTCCTGAAAGTTCTCCTGATCAGTTCTTGGCTGGTAGAGGACATCAGCTTCCTCCCCTCCCACCCCCATGCGTGTCTTCATGTTCTTTGGGAGACTGGGGTGATCAGTGATTTGTAGCCATCTCACCTCATTTGAAAAATGCTGTTTAAAAGATGGGAACAAATATAACCATCCTTCACTCAGGTCCGGCCCTGACAAGGGGGGGTGCTTGTGGTCAAATTCACAATCCTTGATTTTCCAGACCTAACACTTTTTCATCTGAAGACCCTTCCCAGCTCTAATATTCTATGATTCTATGACTGATGATTGATTGATTGATTAGACGGCTTCTGCCAGCCATAAAGGGAGGAACCATGGTGTAGGGAAGGTATATTTGACGACAGAGAAGCATTGACAGAGGGCGCTCCTGAGACAATTTCAACGCCGTTAGAATGGAGACCCTAGGGAAGGGAGTGGCGACACCCACGTGCTGGGTATTTAATTTAAAGGGCCAGAAGTGTGCCCCCGCCCAACTTCCCCAATCTAGACTGACAAACCGCAGGCTTTACTGTGAAGCCAGTCTTAGGAGCCAGACTGGGCCGGGTTAAAAGAGCCCTCCCTGCAAGAGCGAGGGGGACTTTGGGGGTGACGGGCAGCTGCAGGGGACACAGGAGCTCTGAGTCACCGACAGGACCCGGACAAAAGGGATTTGGTGAAGCAGGGAAATAATGTAACTTTCCCCCTCCCTCCTCCTCCAAGCCGTCTTCTAAGATTGCTCTGATCTGCCCCTCTTCCCTTCGCTCCATCCCCTTCCCCAAAGCTAAGTATTGGCAGGCCTGGGAGCCCGATGCGGGAGTGCGGACAAGGCTCAGTGATTCCACAAGGTCCTTCTCGTTCTTTCTCCCCGCTCGCTGTCCGCACCCCCCACCCCCGTGCTTTTCCCTCTGCTAGCTGGGCACCGGAGGAAGTCACAGGACGAGCGCAGAGCAAGAAGCCCGGCACTAGGGGAGAGGCGACTAGGGCAAACCTTGAGTGCGCAGTGTTCTCCCAGGGCTAGTTCTGAGCGAGGGTCCTTACCTACCCCTAATAAGCCAGTACTAGTTAGCGAGTACCTTGGGAAGAAAGTTTCGGGAGGCTGGTGAGTCCGGGTGATCCTGACCTGTACTTTGATCTCCCCTCCGCAATCTCCCCCTCTTTTCTCTCCCTCCCCAACTTTCCAGAGTGCGATGCCTTCCCTTGCACGCCCGCGCCCAGTGAGCGGGTGAGAGGGAGCCCCAAACCTCCAAATCCGGGAAAGAGTGGAAAGGATGGCCCAGACGGCCGCCCCGCTGGCCTGAGGAGGGGGTCCACGGCTTGGGCTGCAGCTGCTGCCCTCAAAGGTGGACGAAGCCAGCCCTTCTAGCAACCATGGTGGCTGTAGGGCTAGCCCTGATCTTGCTTCTGGAATACGCGGTCTCTGGCTCCGGTGAGTCAGGTAAGGATGGGGCACAAGTTGCTGGGGTTACGGGGAAGGAATATGTATTCAGAAATCCCCTTAAGCAGTCTACCTTCCCCTTCCCCTTCCCGGGAAAGTGCTGGAATTGACCCCTTAAACCTCTCCTATCTCTCCGAATCATTTGATTTCTATTTATTGATTTTTTCCCACCTCCAGACTCAGGAGATATTTAGAGCTCAGGACCAGTCCAACAGGGCACTGAAAACAGAGTCACATTGTCTTCGAGGAAGAGAAAATAATTGGGTCGTATGGGGCGATAGAAATTCATGACCAGGGAATCTTGGAATGTTAGAACTGTAACGGACCTTAGAACCGAAAATAGTGGAACCAGAAAGGATCTTAGAACCAGAATGTCAGAGCTGAAAGGGACCGTGGAACCTAGAATTGTCAGAGCTGGCAGGGGTCTTAGAAATACAATGTTAGAACGTAGACTGTCAGAGATGGACAGTGTGTCAGAGATCACCTCGATCAAGGGTTCTTAACTTTTTTGTGGTTCTGGATCCCCCTGGTAGTCTGGTGAAGCCTGTGGACCCCTTCTCAGAATCAGGTTTTTAAATTCATCGAATAAAATACGTGTGATTACAAAGGAAACTAATTCTATTGAAGTGCATTGTATTTAAAATAGAAACTTTTTTTAAAAAATAAATTTATGGACACCAGTTTAAAAATCTCTAATCTAGTCTGACCTCTTCATTTTCTTGAAGGGGAAATAGGGGTTAAGCTATTTACCAGAGGTTACAGAAGCGAGACTAGAACCCAGGTGTGTTGACTCAAAGCCCAGTGTTTTTACCACTTCATTTACTATAGAATGGATTGGTTAGCTGGGCTTAGGGAGTGGTAAATATTTCTTTAGAGATAAAAATCACTAAATATTCCAGATGGGCTTGATTATCCTTTCAGCCTCCAATATTTTATTAATATTTTAGTCAGGCAATAAGCATTTATTATATGCCTACTTGTGTGCTGAGCACTGTGCTGAGCACTAGGGATATGAAGAAAAGTAAAAGACAGTCTCTGCTCTTCAGGAGCTCATGCTCTAACAGGAGGTGCAGTATGCAAATAACTAGGCACCTGACAAGCTAGATACAGGATGAATTGGAAATAATCCACAGAGGGAAGTGTATTTGTTTAGGAGAATGACAAAGTAACATACTATGTACTGAGGAAACTTGTGAGCATAAAGAATAGATTTTCATCTTTTTCTGGATGCTTGTCATTGGGATAAATGAAATTATAGTGAAGAGAAAGAGACAAAGAGAGAGACAGAGACAGGGAGAGACAAAGACAGACAGAGACAGAGAGACAGCAACAGAAACAGAGAGAAAGCTTCATGTAGCCACACAATTACCTCTCAGACTGACTTTCCTTGTCTATAAGGTGGAGGCAATTTCCCAGCCTCCTTCACAGTATTTTTGTGAGAATGAAATGGAATTATGAGTATAAAAGTATTTTGAAAATTATAAAACTATAGAGATTATATATTTACACATAATATATAAATGGTGATAATTATAACATATATCATATATAAAATAATTTATATAAGTGATAAGATGCCAGAAATGCTCAGGCATAGCTTACATTGATTATTTGAAGCAAAACTCTTTTTTCCCCACTCAATAGTATTTTATTTTTTCCCAATTGCATGTAAAGATAGTTTTTAACATTCACTTTTTTAAGATTTTGGGCTCCAAATTTTTTTCTCTCCTTCCCTCCCCAAGACAGCAAGCAATCTGATACAAGCTATACATGTACAATCATATTAATCATATTTCCACATTAGTCATGTTATGAAAGAAGAATCAGAACAAAAGTGAAAAACTATGAGAAAGAAAAAAACCAAAAAAAAGTGAAAATAGTAAGTAAAACAAAACTCTTAATTCAGGAGTCAAAGGCAGAATACCCTAACGGCTGTGCCAGGAATCTAGTGACCTAGGTCCTCCCCCTAACTCCTGTCTGCATTTTGTTTACCTTTGGGCAAAATTAGCTCTCCTTCCACTGTCTCAGGTTCACCACCACTCCCCCCCCACACACACACACATACACCATAGATAGAGACACATAAACTACAAAATTATTTTAATTACATTGGGGTTTGAGAAAATGGCGTGACAGAGTAGTGAATGCCAGGGGCAAAGGAGGAAAATTGGTTGTAGGCATTAGGCATTTGACTGAGTCATGGCAGATCTTTGTCACAACCGGGGTGGTGGGGGGGGATTGGGAGGGTGGAAGAGATGTTTTCTACCTTCAGAAAGACTGGTTTTGTTTGGACTGGGATGGTTATGATGCTAGTGCCAGAGACTGGCAAGTCCATCGGTCTGGCTCAATAGCTACCTAGGATAAGATTAAAATTCCAGATATACTTGACCAATTGAAAAGCCATTCAGAAATCAATAGACTGGAGCTAGCTTGTATAGGAGATAAAGTACTAGTCTTGGAGTCAGAAAGACCTGAATTCAAATCTGGTCTCAGACACATAACACTTACTAGTTCTGTGACCCTGGGCAAGTCATTTAATCCAGATTGCCTCACCAAAAAGAAAAAAAAAAGACCTGAGTTCAAATTCTGCCTCAGATACTTACTAGCTGTGCAGTTTTGGGCAAGTCACTTAACCTCTGCCTGCCTCAGTTTCTCATCTGTAAAATGGAGATCATAATAGCCCCTGTCTTCCAGGGTTGTTACAAGGATTAAATGAGATCATATTTGTAAAGTGCTTTGCAATCCTTAAAGTTACTAAATGTTAGTAATTATTGTTATTGTCAGGATTTATCATTATTTTTAGCAATAAGGATATAATTGAGGAAGGAAGTGTAGGGTTGGGGACAGAAAATTTTAGCATCTCGAGGTTGAACCACTCTGAACCTGAGCCCATAGAAGGAGAGTTAATCTTGTCCAAAGGTAAATAAAGTGCAGACAGTAGTTGGGGAGAAGACCCAGGTCACTGGCTTCTTGGTCCAGTCATTGGTGTGGATGAGAGAACCATGGAAAGACATATATAAACTGATGCAAAGTGAAGTAGTTAGAACCGCATAAATAGCATAGACAATGGCCACAACTGCGTAAATCAAAAGAACAATACAACAAATAATAAAGTCTGTGTCATTATAATGACCAAGCCTGGTCCTAGAGAAGAAGGGAGAAAAGCTCTTCCCTCCTTTCAATAGAGAGATGGAAGACTATGCTCAGCTGGCTTTACTGGTGTTTTCTAAAATTTTTGTTACAAAAGAAGGCTTCCCTGGTAGGGGAATGATGTAAAAATAACAGTATTAAAAGTATAATATAATGTATCTACTATATTTAATAATGTTATAATAGTGTACAATATATTTTAATAATATACTAACATAAAATATATTTTAATCATATGTAATATATTATAATCATATGTAATATAATATAAATTCATATATTATACATTGTGTATTATAATATAACATAATATAATAAAACATTAAATTTAATATTAAACAGTAAAATATAAAAATTCTTTAAAATAAAACTTTAAAAAAAATAAGGGTATTGGACTAGATGGCCTCTGAAATTCCTTCTAGCTTTAATTTTATGATCCTATAACTAAAGGGTCTCTAATCCCATCCAGCTCTACCATGATTCTGTCTAAAACCAATCACCCCTTGCAAAATACCCCCTTGGAGCTCTACCAATCTTCCAGAGAAATCCAGGTTTTCATTGCAAAACTTAGTGTGAAAACCCCTTCTCTCTAAATAGTACATGTCTTCAGAATCGATGCCAGACTCATAGCTGTGCTATAATGATGTCAGGCAGGACTCCTGTTCCCTTTAGAAGCTAAGCTGTGGACTGAGTATCATCTCTTGCTAAGATTCCCATAACTTTTTCTACCCCACTCAGGCACAACCAGGAAATGTCCACCTTTACTTAGTAATGATTTCCATCATTACTAAGACCAGTTCTTGGCCCTAGAGGGCAGTGGATGGGAGAAGAATAATTATATATTATATATTATAACAGTATATATTATATTTTAATAATATATGATACTAATATATTCTGCCATCCAATGACATTGGCCTCCTAGTTAGTCCCCATGGACGACCCTTCATCTCCAGACTCCGGGCATTTTCTTTGGCAGTACCTCATACCTGAAATGCACCCCCTTCTCATCTCCACCTCCTGGCTTCCTTGGCTAACTAAAACCCCACCTTCTACAGGAAACATTTCCCAATCTCCCTTAATGCTAGCACCTTCCCTCTGTTGATTATCTTCTATTTATCCAGTCTATTGCTTATTTATATGTAGTTGTTTGCATGTTGTCTCCATTAGATTGGGAACACCTCAGGGGTGAGGGATTGTCTTTTGTCTTTCTTTGGATCCTCAGCACTTAGCACAATGCCTGACACATAGTAGGTGCCTAATAAATATTTATTGACTGTTTCCTTCAATAGACTTTGCACTGTTTTGTTTTCATCTTTTTGTCCCCAGTGCCTGGTACATAGTAGGTACTTAATAAATGTTTGTCGAATTGAATTGATGATGAGACTGACATCAAGGGAGGTTCATAATATCCTTTATAAAAAGGGTCCTTAAGCTTCTTTGTGTCCTGCCCCTTTGGCAGGCTGATGGAGCCTATGGTCCTTTTCTTGGTATAATTTTAAATGCATAAAATAAAATATATCAGATTTCAAAGAAACCTGATTATATTAAAATACAGTTATTAAAATATTTAAAAGCAAGTTCAGGGAATAACTTACTCCACGAAATCATAGATTTAGAGCTGGAAGGGACCGCCAAAGTCATTCAATCCAATGCCTGAGTTTCATAGATAAGGGTACTCTGATTTAACCAGAGTCACACAGGTGGTAGGTGGTAGAAGTAAGATTTGAACCCTCCCCCTTTGACTCCAAATACAGTAGAATAAATGTCAGAGCCAGGATTCCAACCCAGGTTCACCGACTGCAGATGCAGGTAACTTTCTACTGTGCTGATCCAACCCCTTCATTTGA